CCCAGAATTTTAGGGAAGTGGAGGAGTCTACCCTGAGGCTTTAGCACACCCCCAGTACTGCAGGCTGAACAATACTGGACAGAGTGGTTTTACACACCATCCGCACTAGCTAACACTTGGTGCTTACCAGAGGTCTATAGTTGCTGAACATCGGGGCTACCTTATGGAATCATAGACTGTTGGAGCTGAAGGTTCTCTGAGTTCACTCCGTTCCACCTGCAAAAGGCAGTCTGCCTCTTATGCTACCAGCGATGGCGAGCTCACTACCACCCCCCTGCCCCACCCTCCGGGAAGGCAGCCTGCCTCTGTGTGGATAGTTCTGAAATCCTTCTGCAGGTTGAACTGAAACTTCTTGAAACGTCTAGTCCTTGGCCACAGCCCTGCCCTCCGAGGCTGTGGCCCGGATGCCAGCAGTTCCTGCGTTCTGCAGGTTTTTCTGACTGCTGCGGAGGCTGGCCCGCTGCGTTCTGTTAACAGTCCCTCCTGTAACTTGGTTTGGGGTCTCCTTCCTCATCCTGTCAGTTCCTTTTGGACACATTTGTTTCTCGAGTTACCCTCCAAAATGCAAACATATTCCAGGGGGTCTCACCAACTGAACTTGTCTGGTTTCTGCTGGGGCACTGTCCTCCCATTGTACCCCAACTCTGTCTGCTTTGGGCGGCCGCGTCCTACTCAGACCAGGTTTGCTTGAGGTTGAACCCAGAGCAGGGCTCTAATCTGCGTGACAACGAGGACCTGGATCCAGAACTGTGTGTGTTACCAAGAGATAGGCGTCCTGTTTCCAGCCTTCTTAGTTGAAGGGCTGCCCGGGAGTTCAGAAGGACTGAGAACATCTGTTCCCAACTCTGACCCATCACAGATGGAGAAACCAAGGTCCAGACAGGGAAAGGGACTGCCTTAAAGCCACACAGTAAAGCTGCAACCCCGGTCTCCCAGCCTCTCCCCTAGTCCCGGGTTCTCCCCTCCCCTCTCCTGAGTTTCCATTGACTGGGGGAGCTGCCCTCCCTCTTCCAGAGCTCAACCCAGATGTCCCACCCCTGTCCCAGGCCTCCCCCTCACCCCTTGGCTGTGCTTTCAGACGGGAAATTGTCGTGTCTCCCTCCCTGCTCCTGTCCTCTCGCACTGCAGGGTGAACTCTGCTCCATGACCTCCAAGGAGGAAGCGGCCAGGGTCCAACCTGGGGATTTTCCATGAGTGGCTGCTTATCAATTCCTCCTCAACTGGGCAATGTGTCCTCAGGTTTTTATGAGCATCAGAGTCACCTAGAGATTGTAGATTGGAGCCTCCCAGCACACACCACTCTCAGGTTCTGTAGGTCTAAAACTGGGCCTGGGGAGTATGTTAAGCCAGCACTCCATGTGGTTCTAATACAGCAGGCCCAGAGGCCACATTCCTACAAATACCGCTCTGAGCATCGTAATGGGACAAATCCTTAGTAGATTTCACAAATGGTCCCTGTCCTCAAAGAGCCCCTTGAACTAGCAGGAGAAACACAAGTGATCAGGTAGGCCCTCACATGTCCGAGTAGGCCCTGGAGATTAGATAGGAACTAACTCAGGCCTGGGGAGAGCTGAAGGAGAAATGATAGATGAGCTGGGCCTGGAGGTCTGAGAAATTGTTGGCTGTGCAGGCATACCTCATTGTATTGTGCTGCACTATATTACGCTTCACAGATGTTGCATTTTTTTACAAATTGAAGGCAAGACCCTCCCCCAGCAAAAAGATTACAACTCACTTGATTGTAGTGGTCTGGGACCAAACTCTCAATATTTCCGAGGTATGTCATGCTGAGGTCATCTTGAGCATCTTGGGATGCATGTGGTGGGGTACAATAGGTTGTTTTGGTTTGGTTTTGGCCTAGAAGATTTGCCCAAAAAAAAATCAGCCTTGTTGGCAAGGCTGCAGTGAAGCTGGCCTTGTGTGCTATTAGTTGGCGAATTAATTGGTAGAACCTTGCTGGAGGGTAGAGCCAGTACTTTTAGGTGTGTAAAAAAATCTTATACATCAGTATGTTAACTGAAGCATAATTTGGAAATTGGAAAATGGAAATAATCTAAATACTCAACAGTAGATTATTGATTAAATGATTAAGTCCATCCATAGAACTGTAATACTTGGGTCATTAACACTAATATTTTTTACAGAGTATTTAATGCCATGTAGTAAATGCTCATAATATATTTGAAAAATTAATATGTAAGGAAATGATGTAATATTCTAATAATGAATACATGTATGTATATTGCTGCCCTGGATGGAATGGCTCAGTGAATGAATACATGTATGTATATTGCTATTACTATAATTTGAAAAATGTTTACAAATATTTAAATATTAAGAAAATGGGCTCCAAAATATATAAACTCAACAACAAAAATAACAAATAATCCAATTAAAAAATGGGCAGAGGATCTAAATAGATGGCTTTCCAAAGAAGACATACAGATGGCCAACAAACATGAAAAGATGGTTAGCATCACCAGTTATCAGGGAGTGCCAATCAAAACCACAATGAGATATCACCTCGCACCTGTTAGAATGGCTGTGACCAACAGAGAAGACACGACAAGTGTTGGAGAGGCTGTGGAGAAAAGAGAACTCTGCTACACTGTTGGTAGAACTGTAGACTAGGGCAGCTACTATGGAAAACAATGTGGGGAGTCCTTAAAAAATTGAAGATAGGACTACAAAATGATCCAGCTATTCCACTTCTGGGTGTTTATCCAAAGAACACAAAATACTAATTCAGAAAGATATCTGCACCCTTATGTTCCTTGCAGCATTATATAAAACTGCCAAGATATGGAAACAACCTAAGTTTCCATTGATGGATGAATGGATAAAAAAAGATGGGGCACATATATAGAATGGAATACTACCTGTCCACACACACACAAAAAAAGAGGAAATCTTGCCATTTCAACAATATGGACAGACCTTGAAATAAGTCAGAGAAAGAAAAGTACTGTCTAATGTTACTTATATGTGGAATCTATAAAACAAATCAAATGAATAAACAGAGCAAAACAAAAACCTCAGAGATAAAGAGGACAGATGGGTGGTCACGTGAGGTAAAGGGGTGGGGAAGGGCAAAGTGGGGGAAGGGGGTCAGTTGTGTGGCGATGGGTGGAAACTAGATTTATGGTGGTGGGAGTGACCACTCTGTAGTGTGTACAAATATCCAGTTTTAATGTGCACACCTGAAATTATATAATGCTCTCTACCAAGTTTACCTCAATTAAAGAAATGGGGTGGAGGAGGAGGGCAGACTGAGGAGTGACCGTGACAAGCTCTGAATGTCGTTGTAAGGAGTGATCCTGGGGTGCTTTTGTCAGGATCTGGGGACTCGGGTGCAGGCCACACCCCCCTGTGGTCCAGAAGCCACTAGTGAAGGAGAGTTGTGCCCCTCCCTCTGGTTGTTCTTTGGGAGAAGACAGTTTTTCATGAGCTTTAGGATCTGACTTCAGGCAACCGGAGGCCCAGGGCAGCCTCAGCGAGCTACCAAAGCACTGTGGGGTCTCTGCTGCCGCCATCATTTCGAACATAACGTAATAAACGTATGCAATGTGTGAGCTCTTAGAAGTGCCAGGTGTTAGAGGTGCATTATCTCATCCAATCCTTAAAACAACCTCTGGAGGAAACCAGGGCTTGGGGAGGTCATAAATCACTCAGTGTTGGATTTAGGATTTGAATCCAGATCTGGGCGACCCAGAGTTCGTGATCACGCTGCTCCAGTCTCTAGTGTTCTGAGTGCCACGGGGGAAATGAAGACCTCCTCACCTCCCCTTCCCAAAGGAGGAAAGGGATTTGTCCAAGTTCGTGGCAGAGCCGTGACAGGAGCTCAGGAATTCTCACTCCCATGAAAACGTTGCCCAGATGAATGTAACCAGTGGTGGCAACAGGGATGAGACAACCATTTGCGTTTATCTCCCTCCTTCCTCCAGCCCAGGGTGGAGAGGCTGGCTCCTGTCACTTCCCCAGATTCCTGTGTTGACAGCTTCCCTGGCTTGTGCCTGGCCCAGGCATCTCCCTCTCCCCTGGGAAGGGAGGGCTGAGTCTTCACAGGGTGGATGGAGGACTCCGTTGTCAGGCACGCCCAGCCACTGAGCAGATTTGGGGCACCAGGGCCTGGGGGAGGCACCCTGCCTCCCTGTTTGCTAGGGGCTCATACTGTGCCAGGAGCAGAATGTTCTGGAATCTAGAAGCCTTCCCTTCACTTATCTTCCCTCCCCAACCAGAAGTATGCTTTCTAACAGCATTCAGTGGTTCTTGAGTTCATGAAATTGTTAATAATTTTTATTCTAATAATTACATGTAAACATCTGTTAACGTTTTTCTTTTATAGTGATAATTCACAATTGAACATTTTCATAGCCTTTTCATGGGCTGACTTATTTTTTTAAAATGTTTCTCAAAATGGGGCCTAGAATATCTTTTCTTTTCTTTTTAAGAATATCTTGAGAAGTGTACAAAAGGATTTACATTATTTTGCTTTGGTTCTGGTCCAGGGGTCAGTGCCAGATAGTGACCAAATATTCACCTATCTGAGGTGAAATGAGGAAATTAAAGGTGTGAGTGTGTGTAACTTTGAATAAAGATGTCATTCCCTTTTCCTGGAAGAACTGGTTTTGAGCTTTTCTTACTGTATTTTCCAAGGTTAAAATGTTCTCTATTTTATGAAGTGAGTGGTAGTCTGCAAATAATTTTTTCAGCCCTTTTGCTTATCAGTCCGTAAAAACTCTCCTATTAAACATATTACTCATTTGCCCTGGCTAGGTGGCTCTGTTGGTTGGAGCATCATCTGGTACATCAGGGCACATACCTAGGTTGTGAGTTTGATCCCCGGTTGGGGCACATATGGGAGGCAATTGATTGATGTTTCTCTCTCACATTGATGTTCCTCTCCCCCCCTCCCCTTCAACTTCCCTCCTTTCCTCCCTCCCTCTGTCCCTTCATCTCTAAACATATCCTCAGGTGAGAATCTTAAAAAAATTACTCACTTGTGAAAACTGAACATCTGGAAGCCACTGACACTGTGATCTAGAAAGCCCTTTGCATCCATCGGTTCTCGTTTGATAAGATTCAGCCAACGCTGGCCAAGGCTGGTTAAATCGCCCATTAGGTTTGGCTCAAATACTTGACTGCCAATTATGCCCTAATCCACCTTGATGGAGTCCTAGCCTGCCTTCTCCTCTTTAAAATGTTCTGTTTAGCAAACATGGCAGGGATGACGCAAATCTGGTTGAATGGGAGCAATGGGAGAGTCCGAATGGTGGGTCTAGACCAGGGGTCCTCAAACTACGGCCCGCGGGCCCCATGCAAATACAAATATTGTGTTTGTTCCCGTTTTGTTTTTTTACTTCAAAATAAGATATGTGCAGTGTGCATAGGAATTTGTTCATAGTTTTTTTTTTAAACTGTAGTCCGGCCCTCCAACGGTCTGAGGGACAGTGAACTGGCCCCCTGTTTAAAAAGCTTGAGGACCCCTGCTCTAAAGATTAGCTAAATAGTGTGGACAGCATAGTGCCCAGTGCATCCAATTCCAGTGTCTCACCCCGTCTGGCAAGGTGCGCACTTCTGCCTCCTTCGGGTTGAGGAAACAGCTCCTTCCAGCAGAGATACACATGGCAAAGCCACGGCTTGGACTTCCGATGCTCTGCCCCCAATACCACAGAACTTTAAGGGGAACTTGGCTGGAAGTGGTGCCAGCCACAGGCCCTGAGGAGAAAGGGGAATTGTCACTGAGATGGAAGCTGGGAAGTGTTAGGGCACCTGAAGGTCATGACTGGGGTGAGGGTAAAGCAGAAAGTCTGGCCAATCCCGGGAGAAGGAAGAAGAGGCCTTGGTTTGTGGCAGGAGTCCAACCACAGGGAGGCTGTTCCCGGCCATGCAGGAAAATCCTGCTCTGGGAACCCCTTCCTCGCGGAGGGAGTGCGGCGCTGAGGTGGGGAGGAGGCGGCCTGAGTGGTCCCCCACAGCGGAAGTCCTGTCTGGCTTTGGAAGAATAATACTGTAGCAGCCATCCTCACATCGACTCCCACCCTCCACCTCCACCTCACTGTTGTGCCATTTCTTCCAGAGACGCCAAGAGCCAGATCAGCCACCCAGACCGGAGCCCCAGGAACTAGGTCCCCTCAATGGGGACACAGGTGAGTAGCCTGCTCCATAAACGCCTTCCCTGACATCCATGAGGTTTCCTGCTTTATAATTAACAAAGGTGACATAGCTATCTAATTATCTCAGGAGATTTTTAGATAGGTGGCATTAATAGGAGTATCGTGTCTAAAATCAGGGAGGTGATAGTCCTGACCTGTGCTTTCCTGTTCTGGGCTGGTGGCACCACACCTGAGTTTATTTCTGTAAAGTACATTTTTCAGAGGAATCCAGAAAAATTGGAAGGAGCACAATGAAGGAAGAATGGCTTATGAGGGATCGGAAAACCGGGTCCTGTAAGGAGCAGTTAAAGGGACAGAGGATGTTTTACCTGGAAAGAAGGTGTCGCAATAAAACACAGTTCTCTCCAAGTGTTTGAAGTGCCCTCAATGGAGGAGAAAAATAAGCCTTGTACAGTGTGACCCGGAGGTCAGAACTAGGGGCTCAAGGTAACAGGAACAGGCAGGCAGGATTCAGTTCAATCTCAAAGGATGGTTTTGTGTGGTGGTTGGCTTAAAACCATCAGAGCCGCCTAGTAATAGAAGAGTTCTCCATCTCTGAAGTGTTTAATTACAGCCTGGAGTCTGTCAGCGATATTGTAGATGAGGTTCAAGTACCAGATAAACAGTTGAACCAGAAATCAGAGTTTCCCTCGCCTGGCTGTGCATGAGAATTGCCTGGGGAAACTTCAACGATACAGGTCCTGGGGCCCCGTCACCGACCAGTGAAATGAGAATCCCGGGAGTGGGGCTGGAGAGCCTGCACTCTTAGTGATGATATATTTTTGAGTAAGTTTCTCCGCAGCTGGGGCCAGTCTGCTCCTGGGAACTGCTCTTGGGAACTAACATTCGGGACCCTGAGCCGAGGGATCTGTGAGCGTGTGAGGCTCTCTGACCTTGTGTGGGGCTCTCTGACCTTGTGTGGGGCTCTCTGACCTTGACCACTGTGACTGCCAGGACTCAGAGCGCTGACTTGCTTCCTCTGCTCCGATGGACTGACCACAGTGTTGGCTTCTGGCTTAGCAGCCCCGATCCCCACATTTCTGGTCATACCCTAGCCAGCGTGATCATAATACGAACATCAGTAATAATGCGAACAACACTAGTGTTTGCCTCTCATGCTTGTCAGGAGCCCCAGGAACAGTTGGAGGCCATTTAGTGAACAATAGAGAGCACTGCGCACTTCCAGATGCTCGGCACCACGCTTACTGCTTTTCTTTATATAAATTTTTTTTTACTTATTGATTTGAGAGAGAAAGAGAAAGACATTGACTTGCTGCTCCACGTATTTATGCAATCATTGGCTGATTCTTGTATGTACCTGACGGGGGATCGAATCTACAGCCTTGGTGTATCCTGTGACGCTCTAACCAACTGAGCTACCTGGCCATGGCACACACTTACTGCTTTTCATGCATAACCAGGTGAATGAGGTGGTGGTGGAATCAGATTGTGTTGATTCATCGCCCTTCTCCCTGATTGTGAAATGAGAGTTCTCGGGCCAGTTGCCTAACTCCTCTGTCCCTCGGTCTCCTCGCCTGTGAAATGGGAATCATCATGGTGCCCACCGTTGGGTGGTTCTGCGGATTAAGTAACACCTGTGAGGCATTTGGAGCAGAGCTGGGCATGATTCCGGGCACGCTGACCTCTCGGTATTCCTTTCCTGCTGTTATTATTGCTGTTGCCATTGTCTTCTACTTGAATCATTTCAATAGCCCCATGAGGAATGCATTATTATTGTCCTGATTCCACATGTTGAGTAACTGAGGCACAGAGGGGATGGGCCACTGTCGCAGGTCCTACCCAGAGCCTGTGAAGACTGTTTGGAGTTGCCCTAAGCAAGGGCTGGACTTCCTGTTTGTGGCTCTTTCCTGCTCAGGCAGCTCCTCACCCTCCAGCTGGGGAAATGCTAAAGGCGAGGGTCAGACACTCCCAAGCCCAGGCAGGTGAGCTCAGTGGGAAGAGGTGGGGACTGTGGGAACAGCAGAGCCCCCTCCTGGACGAGGGCGGCAGCTCCTCCTCACCCCAGCTCCTGCTCCACACAAAGGCACATACCACCTGAAAATCTGTAGTAACAGCTGCCCAGTCATTAAATATCAGCAACTATTATTTTTTAACTTGGATATTGGGTAGGGTGCTTGTGTTGAGTCTGTCCTGTGAGTTACCAGCTGTGCTGTGGATCCTAGGGACCAACACGAGACCCCTGGCTCCTGCACTGAGGAGGCCTGCAAAGCCCGGGAGGCTGGGCTGCCTCTGGAGGTTGATCCCCAGCTGAAACCATTCCTTCGAGGAGATCAGGGTTCCCACCCCCCAGCTCCAGCTTCCCACACACTCTGTCGCTGTGATGACCCCACTTCCACTCCGTGGGACTGCATTTATTTTGCTTTTTCACCTGTAGCCACAACTGTCCAGCTCTGTGCGTCTGAGGAGGCTGAGCAGCACCAGAAGGAAATTACCAGACTTCTCCAGCAGCACGAAGAGGACAAGAAGAAATGGGCACAGCAGGTAAGTCCCAGCCACTCTCTTTCCTCCTGTCCTGCTAGCCTTGCAAAACCCAAGAGTGAGCACCGACTTTTGGCTTTATTGTTGAGGTAAGTATCTTCTACTCCTTCTTCCAAGAAGGGAGTCCTTTATCAGTTCAACTGCTTGCATACATTTCATTATATTCATTATGTGCAAAGAAAGGTGCAGAAACACTAACACAGTAGAAGGGTTTCCTACCTCGAGTGGGCATCAGGATTAGAAGACTCCTACATCCCTTTCCACCTAGATAATTCTCAGGGATCCC